TTTACTTTCGTCTTTGGATAATATAATTATTATTATTGTTGCTGTCATCACATATCGTCCCAATAATCGTATGGTAGCGTATCTTTAATTTAACAATTTTACAGAGCATTTTAAAGATTGAAAGTTATCTAATTCTATCTAGTTAGCTAATTTAGAATATTTTTTGAAAAAAAAATATCGAAAAATATGCTATATCTATATCTTTTTTTACATGCGTATGGAAAGTTTCTACAAAAGTCAGTGTCAATTAATTTTTAAGAAAATAATGAACCACCGTGTAATCGTCATAGTAATGATAAATCCTAGTAGGATTATTATAATACTACCGCGGTATACCGTGGAGAAAGAGTTCAATTTTCTCCACAGTTTAAGACTGAGCCACTTTCTTAATTGAAAAAGTATAGGAAATGTACAAATTCTTTAATATGATTAGAAAAATATATTTACAGAGCATGTTTCAAAAAGTCTGTGGAATCCAAAAATGCAAATAAAATTTTTATTAAAAATAAGAAAGTTGGAACCGTCCCAGACAAAACCGAATACCCTGGATAAGTAAAAATATTATTTAAAAAAAATTAGTAAAAATAAGTAAAAATATTATTTAAAAAAAATTGTATTAGTTTATTAGTATTTAGTCATTTCTTTTGACAAAACAACAAATTATATCAACCTGCAAAGTTACAAGAGCCCACAGACCACTTCTAAGTTTGACAGATCAAACTTAGAAGACAGCTCACAAAACCACGTTTTTTTTTGAGTAAAACGTTAGGTTATTATGTTTATCATCTTACATTCTCGTAAGTAATATCATAAGGGCATTTAATTTTTCCGAAAAGAATCGAAAAAACACGTTGCTAAGTAATATTTTAACAAAAAGCATGAGTGCTGGTGGCAACAAAAATCCGAGTCGAAGAGGAGGATTTTTGCACCTGCACGAATGCATTTTGTTAAAAAATATTACTTAGCATTGTGTTTTTTCGATTTTTTTCACAGGAAAAATTATATGCCCGAATGGTATTTGACAAGACTATTTCATGAGTAACAGTTAACAATTAAAATATAAATTGCAATTTTTGTTGACAACAGCTGTCAAGTTTTGCCGCGGGTAAACTCGAATAAACTGCTGACAGGTGCTGTCACACAGTTTTTTCACCTAGAAACCATTTGTAATTCAAAATTGCGCGTTTGTGATTGGTGGAAATTAAGACGAGGGAAATAGTCATTAACAATCATGATTTCAACCAATTTACCTACTACATTTACTACACAATAATTTACTATGTTCTGTGATTTACTACATACTACATTTACTAAATAGTCAATGTATAAAATTTAATAAACGCAATTTTTGCGTCAGTTTCCCATCCCTGGGCTGGAGGCCTTACAAACGGGACAAATAATACTATTTTTACTCTTTTTTATTCTTAAAGTTATAGATATAATTATTAAAAGGAACTTGGCAATTATAATTTTATAAAACAAACTGGCTACCAAACAATTATTCTAAAATTCACATTAACACATGTGACGCAGCATTGCTGCGTTCGTTTAACGATCTTAAATTATTTATGTGTCGAATAATATTAAGTACATTGTATCGACGTTGCTGCGTCGTACATTGTTGTCAGCTTCACTTGATGCAGGTTTACCGTAAGTTTAAAAGAAATATTCACTTTTTCAATATACACCAAATTTAAAAGCGCACCCTTGCGGCAAACTGCCAAACTTCAATATACACGTATTTTACAAAAAACCATCAATGCTGCGTCACCCTTAAAATCGGTGTGTAGGATTGTCGTGACGTCACCAGTAAAATAAACCTTAAATGTAATGCTGCGTCAATATACGACGCAGCATTACACCTGACGCAGCATTGAATGCAAATTTCATAATGTATTGACGCAGCATTGTAGGCGGGATGTATATATATATATATATATATATGTATATGATTATATATTATATACATTATAATGAAGTATTTAATTGGCTAATTGGTGTTTAAAGAAGAAGAATGTAAAAAATATATTTAAGATCCTTATGGTTTATATCGTTAAGTATAATAAGTGAAATTAATAAAGAGTTAATTTAAACGTATAAAAAATGCGTTAAGCAGTTTTTTGTCGGTTTCTTTTACAATTTAAACCAAGTTAGTCTTGTTCTATTATTTTGATCCCTTTAGTAAGGCACTAAATAGTTAAAAGTTAAATGTAGGTATGTATTTTAAATGTTAGTGTTGGAAAAAATTTACACAATCTGTAAATACTTCTTTAAATTTTAGTTTTTAGGTAACTGGTTAAAATAAAACATGTTATAATAAAGGGGTTTATTTAGAATATTTTTTGGTTTTTGCTTATTTTTAACAATTTAAAACTTCTCAGAACTTAAATATTTTCTATAAGAAAGAGGTTCAAAATTATGATATGTTCTTGCATTTTTAATTGCAATTAAATTCATTAATCTCGAACGCTCCGTCATTTATTACACTTGCAAACTTGCAAACTTTTTGAAATCACAATTTAAATACACACAAATAAAATTTATGAAATATTTTTGACAGCTCTGACATTTCTCTACCAAACATGAATTGACAAAGTCAAAGCCATCTAAATTTTAAATTATAAATAAAACTAACAATATCGCTACTAAACGGGCATTAAAAAAATTAATATATCTTTTAAAGGAATAAAAATAACAAAACAAGACTTACTGGACTGAAAAGATGAAGGTGGGGACTACATTTCCTGAAAGTTTCAGATTTTTATTTTTTCCTCAACATAATGATTTCTGAGGGCAAAATTGCCTAATTTTGAGAATTATCAATTTTCAATATTTTTTTTAATAAAGAAATTGATAGTCTAGAAACTTAAAATAATAGTTACGTTTTCTATTGTATAAGTACTTTATACCTGAAAAAAATGAACCTTCTAAATTCAATAGAATATGCACATGAGCCAGACAAAAATCACAAAAATTGGTAAATTATCATGAATCTTTAGTGGTTTACCATTCTTTTATGAGATTAACTAATTGGATAATAATAATTTATATCGAAAACACACTTACTGAACAGTAAAACAAAATTAAAATTTTTTCAATATTTGTCACAGAAAAAAAGTTCTGGCCCACTATAAGAGAGTAAGAAATTGACACTATTTCAGACTTCTAAGGGGTGCCAAATAAAAGTAAAGCAACAAAAAATTAAAACGGCAACGGATTTTCATATTTGACACCTAAAAGATCATCCTCAAATTTTTTCATCAAAATAAAAAATCATGCAGCGCACTTTTAAATTCATTTTTGGTGTTTTCATTTGGATTGACTCATACGTAATTAGGAAAAAAATTATTTAGATTTTCGTCTTATTTTGACTTGATTAATCTGCTGCTAAATTTATGCCACTAAGTTTAGGGAAATATTTTATTAAAAATATCGTGTTCACTGATTAATCTACGTTTCTATAACACGGTAAACATAATGCTTCCAAACTTAAGTATTGGTCCACTAAAAATGATTATCGTAAATAATTTTTAAGCCTTCGGCCGAAAAATTGAATGTTTGGGCTGGTATTTATAATAATATAATAGGTCCATTTTTCACAAAAGGAAATTTAATTGGATACAAATATTTAGAGCTTCTTTGAAACTAAATTTTGCCAGTTTAAGTAAACCTAAACCGAAATCTTGATAACGTTTGGTTTAAACAAGACGGATGCCCTGCTCATAATTCTGTAATGTTGTAACCCCCCCCCCCAAATACGAATTTTGTCGAACGTTCGGCCTATCCAGCGAGGAAATATAAAAGAAAAATTATCTCAAAACTAAACCAAATGAACTTTGCTTCTACACTGTTCAAAATTTCATGACCATTTTAACACCAAATTAACACCATACATGGTCTATATCGATACAAACCAAAATGGTGTTAAAAATGGTTTGTTGGTCCGGTGTAAATTCAAATACTAAAATGGTGTAAATTTAACTTTCACACAGTATTAAAATAAATTTTACCTGGTGTAAATTGAACTCCTTTTCAGTGTTAAATATAATGTGTTTTTGGTCAAATTAAATCATACTACACAGAAAAAAGGGAAACAGGAAGTTCCTTGACGCATAACAAGTATATTACCAGTGGTATTATTCCAGAAAATTGAACCTTCAACTCGATAGAAATAATGTTTTTAGTGCGTTCCACTAACTTAAAATACTTTAAATATTGACACCTATTTAAGGTCTCTTTAGTATCGAACAACTTGTAGTGTCACACCAAAGCAAAGGACTACCTGAGATTATATACTCTTTATGTAAGTCAACAGAGGCGAGATTTAAGAACATCACGTGATCGACACTGCCTTTGCCGCGATCGGTACACACTAAGCAACAAGGAATGCACGGCAAATTGTTTTAATCGTTTTAACAGAGTGCTTTAGGTTGAAGTAACTCTTATTTTATAAACAACAAATTTAGTAAACTGAACCATACAGCGGGTTGGTTTCACTAAAGTTTTCTGGGTTAATTTAACCAATAAAAAAAGAATAAAATAACTATCTGGTTTAGTACCGTCAAACTAATCTTTGTTTATATTAACCTTTCCATAGTTGATTTAAATAAATACTTATGGGTCAACTAAAATAATATAGTTAAATGGACTATTCCTTTTTTTCTGTGTAGGTGCACTTTTCAAATATTTTTAGATAAACACCGTTTTGGTGTTTGCTGTATAAAACATTTTCAACCATAATTCATGGTGTTATATTAACACCACTTGGTGTTGGATTTTGACACCACAGATATTTTAAACAGTGTGGGGGTCTCATATATAAATATAAGAAAAACACATTTTCCTTCTTTTGGGTTTTAATTTTTCAAAAACCTGAAAGTACGAAGTTTGATTTATGTTATAGAATGTTTTGTCAGGCTGTGTAATCTGCAAATTTGTAATATTCCAAAAATTAATTGTTTAATTTTAGCAAAAAAAATAAGTTATATTTTTGTTCAAAGGTTTGTTCAGCCACCTGTTTGGGACAAATACGCTGTAGTTTTTAAAACTGCTTGGACCGCCTCAGCCTTCAAGGGTGCTTTTGGAGAAACCATGTACATTCCCAACACTAAAAGACACCTAGAAAACAATTTAAGATGGTTGGACGTCATGTCACAACAATCTTCAGTATTTAAACAAGGCATGGCCGGTATAGTATTAACAGGTTGGCAAAGATACGATCATTTTGCCGTATTATGTGAGTTACTACCAGCCGCTGTGCCATCTCTTGCCATAAATCTAATAGCTGTGTCAAAAGGATATTTTAATTCATCTTTAAAGGATCAATTTTTAAGTGCTTTGAGCTGTCCCATTCAAAACAACCTGCGCAATTCACCGTTTATAAGTCTCGACTCGGACCCATTCATGTGGGAAAAATTAAGCAAATGCATGTTTCCCGGTTCTCCATTCTTCAGACTCACCTATCGCTTACATAGCACCGAGAAAGAAACAAACGAATATCTACATCTAACCAAAAAACAAAAGGGTTGGATGACCGACTACAACATACGTCACAATTACAGCCTACCGTTACGCGTCGAGGAATTGACCAATGAACTGCCGCGCGTTTATCACGGTATGATATCATTGGCCAGATCGGCGGCGGATGCGATGCTAGATATTTTTGATGGATATACGATTTCGGAATGGATCGAGCAGCATATTTATCCGTATATTATTGAGTTGGAAACAATTCAAAATCAAAGTCTTGCGTTGAAAAGTGTCAATCAGTGGCCCTCTAGGCCACTACCACCTTTAAAAGATTTTAAAAGATTAGGTATACCACTGTCTGTTAACTAAAATAACAATTTACAATAATGTAGGGTGCGAATTGCGCTTGAAAGTTTTATAAAATGGAAACAAAGTTAAAATTCGTGACTGAGTTAATTGCATTTTTTAGCACAGCTGTGGCATAAATATGCATACTATGTGCGAACCACTGAGCATGCAACATTACACAAGTTTAGGGCAATATTGCTTCTGTAAGGGTTTTGAAATGTTAAAATGTAACATTTGTTCAATCTTAATGTAATATTGCATAGAAACATTCATGTAAATTATGCTGTACCAATGCAACAATTCAAACATTGAGATTGTATTGTCAAAGCAGTTTTGCGGAAGGTTATGATTAACAGGTATGACAAAAGGTAATATTTAAAATAAAATATTACTGCAATACGTAACACCTTCTAAATATATCTTTTTGGAACATTGCTAGATCATTGGAGAAGGAACATTACAGTGTAATTCCTTAAATAGTTTCGGAAAAGGATATTGCGGTATTGTTGTTTCATATTCTTATGCCTGAGAGAAAATCATATTAAAGAATTTGTAGATTTCCTATACGTTTTTAATTTAAAAAGTACTTTACTTACTGGCCCACTTTTCGGAAGTATTAAAAAGTTTGGTAATGTACCATGATCTCCACAAGATTGCGCTATGTTTACCATTTTAATGCCCAAGGGCTTTGCGTAAATTATTCGTTTCCGTATTTAAAGTATATTCTCGGTACAATTTATTAATATTAATATAATTTAAAAATTCAACTTTAGGTGTGTATCGATATTTTTTGAACTTTATAGATCTTGTAATTATACAAAGACTGAAGTAAAAAAAAAATAATGATATTAAATAATTATAATTTTATTTGGGTTCCCAAGTGAATCAAGTGTATTTGTATTTTTTAAAACTACCCTTCTATCATTGACTTTTAGAAAAACCAAGCACTGTGATACTTTACTGTTACCTGGATTTAATAACCCTAACAATGTTAACACCACCAAGCATTTTTGTCCAAAATATCTGCACTGATAACTAAAATATAAAAAAACAACAATGATGGTATCTAGTGGATTTGAAATAGAAGCTGAAAATTGAATCTCGTCTCACATGATACGCCTAGATATTTCGCTTCTTTGTTTCCTGGTACAATATTATTATGCTTCCAACTTTACAAAAATATCCAATTCATGGACTGAAAATTATATTCCCAGCACTTTTGGCACGGTCATCTAACCAAAGAATCACACATACAAAAATCTCCAAAAACTGCGTTACTTAATATCTGAACGCTTCCTAAAGAAAAAAAATTGAGTAGCGTGGCGGCGACCCGCTGCGGTTTTAAAAAACAAAAAAATACGAAGATCAATTTTTATTAATGCTTTCATGCCGTCTCGGTATTCTATAGCTTTTACGCACAACACGTAAAAAATTATCCATTTGAAATTTATGGAAACATGAATAATTTTTATTGGAAATTAACCGAAAAGCATTGAAATTTTAAATTTTCTTGGAATGATATGAATCTATCTTGCCTTGAACCTTTATGAATTAATGACTTGAGCTTTTAGCTTCATGTAGCAATATTACCATTCAGTTGAATATTAATAAAACATTTTATCAAAAATATTTATGCAATATTCGTACCTTGCATTCCAAGGAAGAAATAGGGTTGGTCTGTGGTTGGTATAATATTTCACCAATATTGCATAACGGTTTGATGCAACATTACAGATTACAAAGCAATATTGCGTTAAAATTGCAGTGGGTAGATCGTCGACCAAAATCTGCGTTCCCAATTCTCAACAAGAGATAAATGATGAAAAATGTCTTATGAAGGGTGGTACTGTATTTTGCAAGTTTTTTTCACAGAATAATAAAACCAAAAATTTTCAATTTAAAAACAGTATTTAAATAAAATTCTTCAAAATTGTAGCTTACATTAGAAATTACAAAAATTTCATTTTGAATTATAAGGGTATAAAAATTGATTTTTTTTTATTGCTTTAATGTTTTAATACTATTTATTTGTATGTATATAAAACAATTTCTAAGGACGTATTTAAATAATAATAAATTTTTTTAATTATAACAATGTTATGATGATTGAAAGTTTTGATTTTTAAAACTGCCTTGTTAGAATATTTTCATTACTTTATTTAAAAACCGTGTTTCTTAAATTAAAATATATTGTTGTGGTTCCTGCGTTCTGTAAAAACAACTTTGCAATATATAGGACCAGCAAGGCTTTTTACCACATAAAAATACTACCACCGCATATGCGACTATTTAATTTATGAGTAAGCTCAAGTGGTAATATAAAATGCAATTTATTTAATAGATCCTGGATTATAAAATCAAAAATGTTCCAATATCGCGCTAAATTTTCAAGAAGTTATTATCAATTTTAAACAAAACCTATACAGGGTGCACTACAATTTAACATTTTTAGTGTATATATCTGTTCCTCAGAGCCAAAGTAAAACCTGTGAAATTCATCTACATTGTTGTTTAAAGCTCGATTTATATGAGACCCACGGAAAATACTTAGTTCTATAAAAACTTAACTTTAAATAATAATGCAAAAACGAGAATGCCGTGTTTCAAATCTATCCCTCAAAAGTCAGGTTTTTGGACTTGCCCTACTTTGGCTCTTGGGGACAGATATAGACATTCATACAATTTCAAACTTTTCTTTATTGTTGCTTTAAACACAGTTCATGCCAATAAGCACAAAAAGTAATGTGAATGACAAAGGTAACTAAAGACTGAACCTTAACTTCTACTTATTTAAGGCAGCTTAACTTTTTACACTAAATATATCCACATTACATTTTGAACAATTTTTTAATATCACAGGTTTATCACTATTAAACACTGCCTACTGCACCAATTTAAGCCGTACCATTAATTAACAGTTTCATATTCACTTTTTATAATTTTAACAACTGAATATTTGAAACTATAAATAACTTTATTTAATATGTTAATTTATGAACTCACATAAAAATAGTTTAAGATTTTTGTTGGAATTTAGTTTAATATGAATAGAATTAAAAATAATTATGATCTCTAATAAGAAAAAATAAATTATAAATGTTACTTAAAGAATATTATACATTTTTCTTTGGTATTATTTGGCTGTGTAAAATTTACAAATTTATGAATTATTTTGTTTATTTGAGAAAAATATTTTTATTGGTACATTGTATATAAAATTACATTTTGTATTATTTTAAATTCTGGATGGGTACATAAAACGCATTTATTTATATGTGTAGCTAGTCTAGCTATGCATGATGATCTAAAATATGTATATTTTGTTTTGGCTTAAAAAACCTTGGTAATATTATTAATTAAATTTATAACGATCAAATTACATTATATAAATAAACCTATTTTATACAATAATTTTATACTTTTTATTATTTATAGTGCATTTTTTGCTATTGCACAAATTTGACAGACCAACAGTTTTAAACAAAATTAAATTTATTTCTAGTCATTTATAATTTTACAAATACATACCTACTGATTGTATAGCTTTTTGACTGTAACTTTGTACCTATCTGGTTGTTTACAAATTTTTAAAATTACGATCAAGTTCTTAATGTACTGTTATTGTTTGTAGCTTTGATGTATTATTTATTAAAGAATGATATTGTCAACTTGTTTAATTATTTAAAGGGTGTGATTTATCGGCCGACAAAAAATGGTGTACCTAGGACCTTATAATGCATTATAAGGTCCTAGGTATACACGACATTAATGTCGTGTATACACGATAAAATTAACATTGCGCGACCAAAGAGTAATTTGCACGACCCATTGGGCAACTGAACTATAAAATAAAGCATTCCACGATTTAAAAGTTTATTAAACGACCAAAAAAGATTTTAAGATGAAAATGGAGTAATCTACAGTAGGGCAGCAACCAGTAAAGCCTCATTTATAGATTGTCTTCTTTCCTCCCGTAAAAGAGAACAATACGAAAACCGTGGTGCCGATTATAGATTCCCATACGGGATTGTATTGTTCATCTTCTACAGGAGGAAGGAAGGAAGGGAGGCAATCTATAAATCAGGATTAAAACACGTAGGTTTTTTTGCATTGTTTATTTTGTCGTTTGTTTTCATTTTTATATCATATATTGTAATTTTATTTAGCACCAATAAAAATAATGAAAATACAATTATGACGCTGGGGTCTGGTGATTAGTCTAGTAATGAGACGAATAAACAAGACTGGCGTCTGGATATCTTTCCTGTCGTGTAAAACATTATTTTAATCCGTAATAAATTTTGTTGCCATTCATTATCATATTCTTTCAGGCCAATTCACCAATTCAACATTAGTGGTTAACGTTAGTCACTAGAATTAGTGGTTATCATTATATTTAATCCGCCTGATTGACCGGAATAGCCGATAACCACTGATTCTAGTGGCTAATGTAAACGACTGTTAGTGAATTGGCCTGAATGTGGTACATTTTAGGCCAAGTAATGTCTTTCGTGCAACCCTCTTTCGTGACGTGCAGTTATATACTTTCCTGATTTAAATATCCATCCTTAAGAAAGGGTTATTAATATTATATATGCATCAATATTACTATATTTTATTAACAAACCTAAATTACGCAAAATTAAAATTATATAATAGGTATTAATCAAAATAAATAATATTACTTTTTAGAGGTTATTTTTTAATTCTGTATTTGAGGAGTGATTTTTCAAAAGGTCGTATTTCCATTTGCAACAATTTTTCAAAAAAATGACTATAACCTGTATAGGTTAGGGCAAAAAAAAAAATCTGAGAAATATTTAATAATACTTCAGACCTGTCATATTTCGCCGTTAATATATGCCTTTTAACCATACCTTTGGGATTTTGTCAAAAAATTACATTAAAGTAAAAATGGAAATAAGGTCTTTTGAAAAATCACTCCTCATTTGTTACATTTATTAATCAGAGTCTACAATTTAACATACATATATATTTCCTATACATTTTTCATAGCATAA